TCCACAAATATAATTGTCTTCTACTGCAGTTCCATGAGGTTTTGTAAAAATTGGAATTAAGATAGTAACTTCCCCCTGACACATTAATCTTTTAATAGCATGAATACCAACAAATTAAGCTTATTGTCTTGTATTGCAGTTCCATGAGGTTCTGGAGATACAGACAGGACACACAGCTTTACACATCACACTGACAGGAAAAGGAGTCAGTCCTATGATTGAGATCAACATGCCCATGCAGAATGGTGTTCTAGACATGGGAGCAGTGTTAGCAGGGGAATACATAGAGAGAACCTTTAAAGTAAGATCATTAAGTTAGTCAATCAAAATTCAATTCCATCAACTCTGATAAGGAGAGGGATGCACAGTGATCGCCTGACTGGATCTTCATTGTGTTTTTTATGAATAGATTCTTGTCTTACTCTCCTATGATTTATTTTGAAATTGTCATGTACATAATATACTAAGTATAAGTCCAGTGTAATATTCATTATGATTTGACTGTTTCAGCTGATGAACTCCTCTTCCCTCTCCATAGACTACTCCATCAAGTTAGAAAGTCTGTCTCTACAGCGGCACCATGACGCTCAGGTCATCCCAGCATTTATACAGAAAAACAAAACTAACTATCTCAGTGTCGGTAAGTGTTGATTAGATAAATGTCACTTAATAAGTTCTCCAAAAAATACTTGTATTCTTTTCTTACCATACAGTAAAACACAGATAGAATGAAGCAACAAAACCAATCAAACACATTTTATGATACACATGTATCTATAATTCATAAAAAAAAAATGGATATTTCATTGATTTTTAACTTCTGGGTAACAGTGATTTACTTATAAATGCCTTTTATTTTACACATGAATTTTCTTGTTGATAGGTACACAGAACAACAATGGACAGAACGTATTTGATTTGGTGCCGGCGGAGGGGACCGTGCCTCCTGGTAGTAGCATTGACCTCACTGTGACCTTTGCCCCTGATCATCCTAGCGACCATTACTCAGATGGAGTTCGAATTGAACTTTTTGGAAAGGTAAGTTGAAATGTGCAACATAACAACATTAGAACAGAAAATGACCCTCTTTTTAAGATGTGCCACTAAAGGACTGATTAAATTGTCTTATTTTAAAGATAAATGGATTATTATTTGGAAAAAATATGTTTGTTTGAAACTTGCTGATCTAATTCTAGCCAAATGTTGTTTATCTTGGAGAAAGGAAAGTAAGTCATGATTTGTACAATGTTGTAGATTGCAAGCAATTTTTTTTCCTTTTCGAGGATGACCTAGTAAACAATTCTATATGTTATGAAATGTTTGATAAGGCATATATCAAAATTTTGTGATACATGTGATAAGGTTAAAATGTTATTGGGACTTCCAGCTCACTTTTAGAATTTGAAATATCTATGTCTGTGATACAGGAGTCCTGTTGCTGATCTTTATAATTACTGAAATAGGAATGCTAGTAAACATTTGTTACCAGTAATTGTTTGATGCTACTTTTTGTCCCCCGCTTGAAAAGTGGGGGATATTAATTTGGGTTTGTCCGTCCGTCCGTCTGTCCGTCCGTCCGTCCGTCCGTCCGTCCGTCTTTCTGTCTGTCTGTAACGCTTTCGTTTCCACACGATATCTCGAGAACCCTTTGAGCTTTTGCAATGAAATTTAGCATAGCAACTCCCTATGGACTAAAGAAGACCCCTATTGATTTTGAGGTCAAAAGGTCAAAGGTCAAGGTCATAAATAAGCAAATTCTTTCTGTTAAAACACTTTCGTTTCCACACGATATCTCTAGAACCATTTGAGCTATCGCAATGAAATTTTACATAACAACTCCCTGTGGCCTAAAGAAGACCCCTATTGATTTTGAGGTCAAAAGGTCAAAGTTCAAGGTCGTAAATTTATACATTCTGTCTGTGTGTAACACTATCATTTCCGGGCGATATTTCAAGAAGATTTTGAGCTTATGCAATGTAATTTTATACCAAAACTCCCTAGGACGTCTCTCGCCCCTCTCAAAGTGCCCCGCCCCGTTTGTTTTATTAGTATTTATAGTATTACATGTCGCTATTTTTAGCACAGGGGCATGAGGAGAGTTATTGCGTATAAAACAGGTTCTCGGCGGACTTTATGTTCTTATTACATCTATTAGAACTGTTTAATAAAGGCTAAATAAATCAAACACCATGGATTGTGTAAAATTTTGAGAATACCGAACATGAAAACATGAATATATACATGTATGTGACTTCAGTTCTGCATATACTTCAATTCGGTTAAAGCGCCTCCTTGGTCTAGTGGTTATGTCTCTCGCTTCAAGTGTGAGAGGTCCCGGGATCGGATCTCAGTCGAACCTTCCTCTTTTTTTTTTTTTAAATACTTTTTTTTTTACTAAATGATAGTATTCAGCATGTGAAATGAAAAATTTATGAGGTTATAAAATCATCATTACATTGTGATAAACATTCCATATAAAAAAATCTTCTATACACATAATAAAGAATAAGCAATCAAATCCTTATATGCATATTGACATACATGTATTTTATTTCCTTCAGTATACATGTATACATTTAATAATTCTACAAATTCAGTCAGGGGGAGCCGACTTTTTCCCTAAGCGGGGGACACGAATTCTCTGAATTAGCTTGTTAAATTTACAGTTATATGCTAATTAGTGCTAGTAAATGCCTGAGATATGTACAAGAGAATTTTCAGCATTGTTGAAATTATGATTCCTTTGAAGTAATGAAAGATGTTAATTGACTACATACATATCAAAAATATGAAATTTTTCTGGCATCACTACTACTAAATTTTTCACCATCAATTCCAGGAGGAAACACATAATTTTATGATCAAAGGAATGGCCAAGCCAAGAATAATGTTTGTGGATGGCACAGATGAAAGAACCCCAGAGATTGAATCCCTGGCAGAGGAGACCCCTGTACCCACAGAGGATGAAGGTCTGTTTTCTTAGAAAGAAGCATTGTGCATACCATGTGGGTTTTTTTCCTCCATTATTTTCACTCAACTTGCACAGTTCAATGATATTAAGTTACAGTTTGTCAACTCTATATTTTCAGATGGAAAACTCTTGCCTACTCCTGTTTTGTTCACACTGAGGAGTATAGTTAAAGAGAACGACTTTATCCCCGCCTCCCGTGACCTGATCGTGGGGACCGTGAGGACAATGGCCGTCAGTCAGAAGAAGGTGGGTGTGTCGTTTTATTCCCCTTCTCTATACTCACTGCTTGCTGTGATCCCCAGATATTCTAAACAGAGTTTGATTAAATCAATGTTGAATTATTACTAAAAAGAACTTTTATTTGAATTACTTATGTGTGTGTTATGTTAACCTTTGTTAAAGATATAATTAACATTTTAAAACAATAATTATATATTCTTATGATAATGGCAATCTACTTTTTTATCATTTATAATTCATTCCACATTTTTTATTAATTCAAACATACCTGCACACAAAAATTTACCTTTACATTGAGTGTTTTACTTAATCATGACATTTCCCTATTTTTATCAATAAATCACTTGTTATACATTACCCTCATAATGTTTATGCTTTGTTTCCCCATTGCTAACCTGGTGTGGGTTGTTTGCTGTGTTTGATATAGGACGGAAAAGGTGCTTCTAAACATGGCGTAAGTAACAGAATTGGTTCAGATTTCGTATTTATTTTGATATCACATTTTTGTTATATTTTTTACTCTTTTTCTTGTATGGAAACTATAGTTGTGATGAAATCTTTCGGTTTTTGAAATTGTTGCTTTTTCTTTTTTTGGACATTGAGATTTCTTTTTGTACATGTATCTGTTTGTGATGTACAAGATACTTAAAAAATCCGTTTTGTTTCTTATTTCATTTATTGTATTGCAATACATATATAATGTAATTAATTTTTTTTGCCATTTTAATGAGTGACATTGTATGTGCTATATTGTATTATTTAATGATTTGTATAATATTTTGATATTGTGTATATATTCTCACTAAATAAAAATTTCAATCTATTGAAACAGAATGGTGAATTCCAGTTTGAAAATGTGCAACTTATTACTCAAAAGGGTTTCAATATTGAACCACAAAAAGTAAGTTTATTCAGTTTAAATTTCTTCAAATTCATCATGTAAATAACATATACCTAAACTACAGATGTTAGTAAATGTACTGTAGTTAAAAAAACAGAAAAAAAAATGATTGATTTCCCCACAAAGCAATTTCAATTGCATAGTTTCATGTGTTTTATTATTTTTGTTTCATAAACAGGGTATGGTTGAGGCTGGTGGTCTAAAACCTGTTACATTTACCTGGACTCCACCTGCCGGTCACGATGTAAGTAAAATACACAATATACAGATAAATTGTAGTATCAGTATTCCATGTGTAAAACCACTAATAGAACAATTACGGAGATTCTCTATGTACCACAAATACCCAGTGCTTGTATTATTTCACAAAGCGTACAATTCACAATATAAGCATACAGGTATTTGACATCAATGCAAATCTATACCTTGTTCTTCAACATTTTTATTTTCAGCCAAACACCCCAGTGGAGACCAGTGTGATGTTAACTTTAAAAGGAGATGTGACAGAACAAGTCAAAGTCATGTTACGAGCATTTGTTGTCTCTGAATGAACATTCCAAGTTCTAAAACCTCTCAAGCAATCCTGTGATACAATTTGAACTTCTAAACAAAAAGTATTCTAGATGTGTTATGTAAAGAATATCTATATACTTTTCAAGTGTTTAATGACTGAAGTTTTCTTGGATAAAGCAAATGAAACTGAGACTGTTTTGTTGTTGTCTTTTGTGTGTGTGTGTGAGTGCCAAAACTGAGCCAGATTATCCAGTTGGACAGATATACACATTATCTGCATGGTAACAATCACCAAAGGTGGTGAAGAATTTTGACATGAACCAACAATGCATTGCATAGTCTTATCAAAATAAAACACAAGACTTCAACAGTGTGTTACCTTTGATATTGTTTTATTTGTTGTAGCACTTCATCTCCATTACATTCTTGGAATATGTTTGGTGTAATAATTTCCTGATGTATAATAAATACTTGAGAGTTAGAGGTATTGAAAAAATTAATAGAGTGTTAATGGATGGATAAAGTTTATGACATGGGTCACGAGCTCATCAGGATCCGTGTAACAATGGCTCCACACATATCTCAAAGGCAGAACAGGGATTGTTTATTTCAAACTTTGTCACAACATCGGGATGTAGCACTCCTATCGTCCCAATGGGTTTCCCTCTCAAAATGACTGTCGCACAACGCCCTTGGAAATAGGTTGGATCTAAATAAACATGGAAAATAAATTTGAAAAAAATGCAAATATTGTATGCTGTGAACAAAATCAGGAGTTGTAGTAGAAAATGTATATTATTACATTTCATTAACATATACATGTACATGGACTCCACTGAAATTCTACAAATTAAGACTGTAAATGTATTATATTTAGCATGTACAATATCTAGCAGATATTGATTTTTGAACAAGTTAGCAAAATTCTGATTTTGGAGATTATGTCTATATGTGGAAGACATTTATAGCGTTGTACTTGTATTTTAGCAGGTTTCTCGCCACCAAAAACTCTAAATAGAATACAGATGTAATACGTTGACAGTATTAAGGTAACACTAACCATCGGAGGCTTTGATGTAGTATCCTTCGTCTCCCTTCTGGAATGGAATCTCCATCAGCTGCATGACTCTGTCCAGCAGACCCTTAACAATCTCAAACCCTGAGGACTTATTGTAGTTCACAGCACATATCCACCGCTCATTCCGAGCTCCAACATCTGTAATGTGATTCAGAGATTAGTAAGGAATAGTGTGAACAAGAAGTCTGTGAGCCAATGCTCACTAGTAATACCCCCGCTCTGATGTGAATATACATTATCATGTTAATATCAAAAGTTCAATTACAGGCAGATGCACAGATAAATAGGAAGTTGACATCAGATTCATATAAAATAGATCCAACCATATGGCATGCCTCAACAAGGTATATGCTAAAATTTCAAAGCATCTGTAATGAGTAGTTTACTGAGAAAACTGCAACGAAATTTGGTATGTATGAAACAGACAGATGCACAGACAAACAGAAAGTTGACATCAGATTTGAACAAAAATAAATCACGTCATATGGCATGCCATAGGAAAAATTTTGTTAAAATTTCAAGCATCTGCAATGAGTAGTTGCTGAGAAAACTGCGACAAAAATTTGTCATGTATAAAACAAACAGTCCCACGGATAAACAGAATATTGACGTCAGATTTGAACAAAAATAAATCCCACATATGGCATGCCTCAGAGAAGATTGTGTTAAAATTTCAAGCATCTGCAATGAGTTACTGAGAAAACTGCGACCAAAATTTGTTATGTATGAAATGGACAGACGCACGGATAAACAGGAAGTTGATATCGGATTTTAACAAAAATGAATCCCAACATAAAGCATGCCTTGGAGAAGATTGTGTTAAAATTTCAAGCATCTGCAATGAGTAGTTGCTGAGAAAACTGCAACCAAAATTTGTTTTAACCGGACGGACAGACAGACACACAAGGGTAAAACAGTGTATCCCCCCTCTCCTTCAGAGCGGGGATATAATAAGTTTAATACGACACTCGTGAACTCCTATGACTTTCACCTTCCCCAGAAGTCATAACCTGTCTTATTATCATTAACCCTCAAGCCAAATGTGATCTTGTTTCATTCCACAACAAAATTATAGTGTGAAGAACAATTTTACATTTCAAATCCAGTGACTTGATTGAACATTGTGTAGGATTGTTACACCAGCTGATTACCAGTAATCTTTGTGTCTAGTATAATCTTTAAATAATTCTCTCCTTTGAAGGTATAACTAAAGCAAGAATTCATGATTTCTGAAGACTCCGACCTGAACCATAATCAAATCACAATGGTATAGGGTTGTTTCAAATATTCTTCTCACAGACTACCTTTCTAACTAGTACAGTGTATAATCTGTTGATGATTCTCTACTTCAAAGTAGTGGTGAGCCAAGAATTTTACTCCTGAATCTGTCTCTGCCCTGAAACTTGCGACATTGACCTCATCTAAATTCCCTAGAATAGGATCAGGATGTACCTTTCGATGATACGTATTCTCCAATTCAGAATTGTGGCTGGAAAAGTATTTTAAAATTTGGTACCCTGTGACCTTCACCTCATCAAATTGACCTCGGCAGATAGTCAAATACCTCTGATCAAAGCTACAAGTAGCTTTGATCAAGTTTGAACTCTTTTCATGTATCTGGTTTCTGATTTTATGTTAAGACAAGAACTTGACTTTTCTTATTCCTTTCTTCAAATAATTTTAGAGATCTCTACATATCTCTATTAAGAAGTGGTAATTTGAACAAACCCTCAAGATTTTGCTTGCATTGGGGTATAATAAAGCGCAAAAAAAATTTCAATTTCACAGTACCTCTTTTAGGGTCAGTCACAACAATGTCAGAGATTTCAAACAGCTTAAGTGGCAGTGGCATCCCCATGTTTTTATTGATAGTTTTCAGTATTCCTGGAAGCAGTGTTGTCCTTGCAACCTGTACAATTAAGATTTATCTCCTTTGAAGCATATGCATGAAAACAATGAAAATCATTATTTATTTTTTTGAAAATCCTGAACACAACAAACATTTTTTTTTTTTACCTGAAATTCCAGTGTTTTGGGATTGGCAATATGAGCTGTATTAATGTCTTTGATATCTTTTCTTAATTTCTCTCCTAAATCATCTCGGGAACACTGACAAGGAAAAGTATATCATAACAAGAGTACAAAGTGCAATTTCTCTCGCATTCTCTGTCTAAAAATATTTTATATGGTAAAGCAGAAGAAATATTTTTTTTGATCTGTTTGGTCTCAAAAATATTTACCAGAGCAAATGTCAAAATCTCTGTGAAACCCGCTGCAGCAATCTCCTGTCTCAGTAAATCAGATAATTTGTTGATAGGGGACTGAAACACATGTACAAACTTAATATTAAGATTTTACATATATAATATACATGTACCTGCACACTATATTTTTCTTTTTTTTTTACCTCTTTAATTTTTAAAGAAAGCATTGATTACTTTCTTTCCAAATAAAAAGATCAAAGAAAATACTGTCAGACTAAATGTGATCAGAATAGATTAACAATAAGTAAAGGCATTAGGTAGTCTTGAGATTCTGACCTGGTTTCCGATACAGTTGGTTTGGGGAATCGTTTTTTCTATGTTGTTGTACCCGTAGGCAATGGCTACATCTTCCACTATATCACAGGCATGAATAACATGTACCACAGTTAAAGAATAAAATAAATCATAGGATATTTCTTCTTTTCTAGATATTTTTGCATAAACTTGGAGCTCTGAACTCTAACCATAGTGTATACAAGACAACCATGAGTCTTTCAAAAGTAATAATTTCTGAAACAATAGAATCCCTTCATAAACACAAAATAATCTTGTAAACATGTGTGTATGAATGTCTTGTAACTTAATATTTTTCAGAAAAGTTATTCTATTAGCCAAACGCATTCAGCAACAAGTGTGAGATTGTGAGTACTCATAAATACAGCTTAAATTCATTGACCTATAAATGCATCATGAACAGATACATAATATTTTTTTGATTTTTGAAGGATATCATGCCTTGTGGGTGGGACCTCCACCATAATTTTATTGCCACTGTCAAAAGGAGTCGACTCCAAACACATTCGGGTCAAAAGTCTGGCCATCTCTCCAGGAGGGATGCTATCAAAATAGGAAAACAGGTTTTTTTTTTCCAATTCCTTGTATAAATATTACTGTGTATTGTGTTTCTGTCTATTTGTAAACACAACTAAATTTTATGAACACAACTAAATTATCCCCCTTTATTTTTATTAGAAAGTTATACATTTGTACATTACATCTTAACTAAAAATATTGGTCAAAATTTCACTTTCAAGGATTAACTTTCGGTGATGTACTCCACTGGATTTACAAACGTATGTAAAACTAAATATTACCAAATTCCTATCTTGTTGTTTGTTTCTGATACATCTATTTCTTCCAGCCTATAGTGAAGTTCCTTGAAAACAAAAATCATATGGCAATTGTTAGTTTTTTCATGCATTCTGGAAATTTACTCTTTGGCTAAATTGATTTTAAATCACTAAATTTCTCCAAAATTGATTAATCAATAGATAAACTTACAGGGTACATAACACTAGTTCCACAGGGCTTCACAACTTCTACAGATTCTGTTCCTCTGCAATAAAATGCCAATCATATTAACAAATAAATCAAGTATATTTCAAATCCTAAAATCAGATTGAAACTTACAAGTAAATCATTAGTTCATTACCATGTGAGCACTTCACATATAAATAATACAGTATTTGAATCATCAAGCAGTACTTTTCTAAAGGATTGCAATGTAAAATTCCATGATGTTTCCCATATTAAAGTTTATATTTAGCAAAATTGTTATCAAATGCATACCCTAGAGAAGGTGAACATGAGTTAAGAATACAAAAGAACTTAGCATCTCTAAATGGTAAGCAAGGAGAGAGAAGTTAATTTAGAGCATAAAAAGGGCAAGCAGGTGCTCTCCTGTAATTTTAATCACTAGAAATGAAAGATTGCACTTACTCATTAGGTGGGGAACAATACTGGCCAAACATCGTGACAATCGTGTCCAGCGTAATCTTGGCTTTGTTGAGGTCGGTGGCTGTACACTCAATGAAAACATTCTTTGTTTCCAGTGTTATTTTACTGTGGTCCCCTTTAATAGGAAATAGAAATGAAATATTTTTATGATATTAGCAAAGATATTACCAATGTAAAATAATAATTTGAAATAATATTGAACCCAGATTCAATACATTGCAATATATTTTGAACCCAGGTTCACTTTTTATTGCCATATAATGACACCCCCCCTAAAATATTGACCCCAGTGAGTTCAAAATAATATAGTTATGATATATTGACCCGAGATTCAAGATATTATGGTTGTGAAATATGACCCCCTACTCTCTCAATTCATATTATGTTTTAGGTGGACATGAGAGACTTACCATTAATAATAGGTGGCATGGATAACACCACCCCTCTACTGTCATAGATAACAGGGTATACAGGCTTGTCCTGGATTATGTGAAGATACTGCTTCAAGTGACTCTCATTCTGGAAAATTAAACAAGAGGCCCATGGGCCACATCGCTCACCTGAGCACTAAGGGTAGGAAAAAGTAGAAAATGGCTTTTTATTGTAAAGTTTAAATCCAAAAGTAGTCCCATGACCAATCATGGATTTGCTATTTTTCAGAAAATGATTTTTAAAGAACTTTCCTATATATATCATTAAAAACTTTGGTCGGCCATTTTGGCCCCGCCCTACCCCTGGGGGTCATGATTTGAAAAAATTTGAATCTACACTACTTGAGCATGCTTCCATATAAATATGATGAATTATTCTTGAGAAGAAGATTTTTAAAGAATTTTCCTATATATTTCTATGTAAAACTTTGGTCGGCCATTTTGGCCCGGCCCTACCCCCGGGGGTCATGATTTGAACAAACTTGAATCTACACTACTGAGCATGCTTCCATATAAATATGATGATTTATGGCTTTGTCATTCTTGAGAAGAAGATTTTTAAAGAATTTTCCTATATATTTCTATGTAAAACTTTGGTCGGCCATTTTGGCCCGGCCCTACCCCCGGGGGTCAGGATTTGAACAAACTTGAATCTACACTACCTGAGGATGTTTCCCCATAAGCTTCATCTTTCCTGGCACAGTGGTTCTTGAGAAGAAGATTTTTTAAATATGCCACCAAATTTTCATTAATTCCAAATTATCTCCCCTTGAATGAGGGCATGGCCCTTCATTTGAACAATCCTGAATCCCCTTCACCCAAGGGTATTTTGTGGCAAGTTTGGTTGAAATTGGCCCAACGGTTCTTGAGAAGAAGTCGAAAATGTGAAAAGTTTACAGACAGACGGACAGACAGACAGCTAGACAGACAGACGGACGCCGGACAAAATGTGATCAGAAAAGCTCACTTGAGCTTTCAGCTCAGGTGAGCTAAAAAATAACAATATGTGCTCAAATTACTCTTCATTCTACAGGAATCTTTGCTATTTGACACCAAAATTCAAATTTTTAATCTTTACAGTCACATACGGTCAAACATTGTTATCTCAACTTCCATGGGAATGACAAAAATTGTATTCAAGGATTAAAGATACTGAGGTATAAACACATAAAAAAGTAGTTTGGGCTTTTCCCTGAATTTGACATATCAGTGGTATTTGGGTTGTTAATGTTTGAAAAGACAAAGTTTAACTGTACTTACAGAGTAGAGTTCCATAAGCTGTGGAGCTGTCTTTTCTTCTGTCTGATTCAGAGCCTTAAATTTGATTTCTGACGGGGGCTTAGCATCGTAGTAGAAGGGTCCTTTTATTGTGTCCAGGTCATGTGTACCGATGGCCACTAATGTTCTCTTCCTGTTACCAAATAGTTCACCAAATAATATACATTTTTGATTAAGACATTGTAAAGGTAAGAATAATATTGTCAATGGATAACAATTTCTGCTGACAATTTTCAGAAACCTACCGATAATTTCACTGTAATAAGCTGAGTAGAACACTCGATAGACTCAAGTACTTGTTTCCTACCTGCAGAGATTTTGGTGAAGCTTGTCTTGAAGGTCAATGAAACTCTTATATCTTTCCTGTAATGCACAATGTCATAATTTATTTTACTATCAATTAATCATAAATGCATGTTAGCATGTATCTTTCACTTTTAATTCCTCATATATACTTACAGGAGTAAGAGTGATATTTCTTAAAACAGCTGCCACTGCAAATGGTCTTACTTCTGCAGTCTATCAAGAGAAAAACACACTGTCATTTTTTGAAATCAGAGAAAATGAAATTAATCAGATATTTGTTTATTAATGAATACATACTTACCCTTGGTAAAACAATGAGCTTCTGTGTATTACCAGTCCATGGTGGGATGGCTTTATATCGTGGGGGTGAAATTCTAAGATAAAAAATAATAAGGATATAAGAATTAGTGGTAATTACTTCTTCAAATACTTGTATAATACATGTACAGTAAAATTTGTCTAATCCGGACTCTGAGTACTCCGGACTTTTGTCCATTCCGTCCGTAAATTTTAGTCCCATGCACTTCTTTAACAAATTCATTTAAAAAAATTCTGTGTAGTCCGGATACTGTCTATTCTGTATTCCGAACGGCCATACTGGTCCCTACTGCTCATAATTAACAGTAATTATTCCCTCTAATCCGGCCACACCTGAGTTACTTCAAAGCAATTAACACCTTTCGTGGGGAATGTGATAATCTGTGTTTACATTAGCATGATTATTAGTGCCATGAGAAACACAGTAATTGAAAAATATATTATATGATTAAATAACAATTAAAAAAAATTAATTGTTTTAACTCCTTTTAACATAATAACATAAACACAAAAGTATATGTACGCGATTTACAAATTATAAATCAAATACATTCAAATGGCGCCATGACAATTGCTGTCACATTGAATGAGGTCTTTGACAAGTCCGCTTCTTAGTAGGCCTATATTATGCACATTTTGATTGAGGAAACATTTCACAAAACTTCGTGAACATATAGTCAGTCATGTGAGACTATTTTATAATTTCTAGACTCCAAAATAAATTGATTTCATCATTTGATTTTATTTATGATATGTATATGATGTACTTTTTCGAAATTGATATTTTCCTGCATTTTTCCTGCACTCCGGATTCTGTCTAATCCGGCCAAATTTTATGGAACCAGCGGTAGCCGGATTGGACAAATTATACTGTATTTCTTTTTTAGAATCAAAATACAGAATCATCAACTAAATTTTCCTTACTTTTCTAAAAACACCAGAAGCCCCCTGACCAGTCCTTCAATACACAACAAGTCATACCTACAAAAAAATTCCAATAACTGGTATGGAATCTGAAGGCTTATTTCAATATATCTTTTTTTTTAAACATGAGTTTAAGGTTTAACAATCATGGCAGTGTCTAACCTGTTGGCACCAATTTCAATCTTCCATTCTAATGCAGCTTCTGGGTTTTCTGTTATTTCCTTTTCATCCTATAATCAAAACAAAAGTTTTGAAAAAATGCTCAAGATTTTGTCACTGAACCGGTACATTATATGCTGAAATATACATACTGCCTCCTCTGGTTCTACTCCAAACTCAAAACATAGTTCGTCAAATTCTTCAAAGGCTGAAAAACAATTCAAAATATTTTAAATTATGAATGTCGCCAAAAGCCACAGTTTTTGATTTGCTCCTACTTGTCAATGAATAGAGAAATACTTTAACATGCATAGATTTTCCTATAAATAAAAGTACAATTACGAGTATATGGCATAGATGTAAAACCTTTTTATCCATGAAGCCTTCATCAATTCATCAAGTTAATGTTATCAATTTTATTTAAATATTAAAAGAAAATAAAAGGGGGAAAATGAAACCAGAATCTCTGGTAAGACTAGTTTATATTTTTTAAAACAAAGGAAAAGTAGCATTCAGACAAGAAATTGTGCAACAGCAATAAGCAGAATAATATTCTTATGTTACACTGTAATTAGTCTCTTTTATGGACAAGATTTATTGCAATCAGACTAAAACTGTAGGAGGAGTAGTGTTTAAAATGTATTTCACAGAAAATTCTAATTTAGTAATATTTACATTTGCAAATGTTTTCCTTTACATAACACTACTGAAGGCAAGCGTTTTTATAACTGTGTAAATACAGGTTTGGGGTCAAGAGGTCATAGATGTGCGTTTGGATAAACGTTCCACGTAATTTCTCTGTGACGTCATAAAGGGTCGACGCGCGTTTAGTAGATTACATACATGCCGTTGGGTTTGAAAAATTAACGCATTTCACACGTTAAAAGTAACAATCAGGCAAATATAAAGTATGAATAAGTCACAAATGTAAATATAAGTAATAAGGTATCATTTTTTGAATTGAGATGTAAAACGGGTTGACACATTCAAATCTTCCATAAAGCCCTTCGGGCTTTATGAGATTTGATCACGTGACCAACCCGTTTTACATCTCAATAAAACTCAAAAAATGATACCTTATTTCTTAAATGATTTCACTACCAATTTTCAAAATCAAAAAACGATAAAAGAATATTCTATGTATCTTAGTTTAGCCTCCTATTGTGCTATCCTAAGTAATACTGAACTCTTTCCAAATCTGATTCTGTATGAGGATTACTGTTTTGATATTGTTTACAGATACATAGATAACTAGACATTTAGGTGGACAATGGAAACCCATCGCCTCAGTCCACAGTCCGGAGTCTGCTCATAGCTCTCTTCTATAAGAGAGGATTGTACATTTTGGCCATGGTTTGTGACAATCATGGAAACTTTACTATTGCAATAAATCAATAAAAATTAGGGAAAATTTGCTCCATCTTAAAAATAATTTTTTTTTTAATTCCTATAATACTGTTTGATTACATGTATAAGAACATTTTCAATATCAAAAGCACTGACCAAACTGATCACCAGTTATTGCTGTTTTTTTTCTTTTGTAAAACATTTTACCTATGAAGTTTAAAGTAATTGGACCTGAATAATCTTTTTTTTAAATTACCGGGTATCTGACAATTCTTTTACAATTTGTGCACAAAAATGATTTAAACGTTCTAATTAATACCAAAGAAAGGAGAATGTTATTTAACCTACAATAGAAAAGGATAGAATTCTTTTGCACTTGGCTTGCATGGGTGATTACCTGTACAGTTAGCATTGTTTATATTATTCAGTATAAATGGACTTTAAATGATTATAAATTAAAATGGAACAGTTACTTGTATTTTATACATAATTTAACATCCCTTCCTCAGTAGTACATTTCAGATTACATCAGCACTTAATTCACAAGTTCACTGTTTACATCTAAAGTTACTGTAAACCAACTTTTATTCATGAAGACTTTATTTCATGATTTACCGGGGTTAAACTAGTTCGCCATGATAAATTTTTGCGATCAAGCTCTTTTTGATCGGTTGTTAATAGACACAGAGCCAGACACAGACACGAGAAATATTTGTAATGACAAGGCTCTCGTTCACGAAAATTTCTCGCACACGAATAAAAGTTGGTTTACAGTATTTCAATGTGTTTGAAAAATTCACTCAAAATATACTAATTCCATATGAAGTGTTTGTTGTCAGATGTAAGATTATACATGCCCTACTTATTATTTCTTCCTGGTGTCTAAACTTCATATATACACTTTCCAAAAATAAAAACATTCAGAAAAAAGAATTTCAAACAGACAAACACCTATATAAATGTTGGACTAAATCATATTTTAAAATCTCAATATACTGTCAAACTAACTTATTAAGTATACCTGAACTTTTTTAACAAGCATATGTCACAGTTACAGTAAATGATGCTCGTTGTCACCTAAAAAATAATATTGTCAAATCTTACAACGCATTTTCATACATCTGATGAATTCATGACTACATATATCCAAGGCCTTTATTTTATAGTATAGAGGGGTAGACTGTGTCATTTACAGAATCCTACAAGATGAATTCATCTACATATGCTTTCTGTGTCAAGTCCTACAAGCATTCATGTTTCTGACACTTGTGTTACGGTTTACCATTTCAGTGATGATGCAAGCCAACGCAAACTGAGGACTGCCAAATGTATGGTAAATATTCACTTACTGTAACGTTTTCCAAGAGCTTTAAACAATTCTTCCTTGTTTACCGAAATCGTTGGCATCCTTCAGTTTGATCAGAAATGTCTATCCTATAAATTAAAGAAAAACAACAACAAATGCTTACGATACCGTCACCGTACGGAGTGACCACACGCCGGTGCACGGTTGATAATTTTGTACCTTCTTACGTTAGAGAGTTGATTATGTGCTAGACATTTAGATTTCTATTTGCAGCATTTAAAGTAGTGAATGCTAGTGATTTCTTATTTTAGATTTTTAAATTATTTGCCATGTTACCCACACAAGTAAATTATCAGACAATACTTACCATTAGGAGAATATTAAAAATAAAGGTACAATTTAATCGGGATCAAGATTCGGCTACTCTGAAGCAGTCGATGCATCTTTTTGGCATACAAAGTCCATGGCTGCCACAAGACTCAGGAGATGTCGCTTAAAGATCATAATCATATTGCTTGTTGTGGTATTTTTACTTTATTTGTATTTTCAAAAGGGTAAGTTTTATTTTTTTTTAAGAATGATTGAAGGTTAAGAAAGAAACAGCTTGTAGTTGAGAGGGAAAGTTTAACTACTCCCTGTGAACAATTCTCAATCTGGGTACAAGCAACACAACAGAGCTGTAATAGATCTGTTTTAAATCATTCCTGCATATGAAATACAGTTTAACATGAACTTGGTCGTGGGTAATGTCAGAGCTTTCATTTTGTGAGCTAATCCAATGGATTCAAAGCTCAAATCGTTCTGTTTTGTTTTGAACATATTTTATTGACAACATGTCAAAGGGATTGGACACAAGTTCCCAAAACTTAGATAGTCCTCTCCCAAGATAGTCCTCTCCCATTCTGTGATACACACCAAAAAAAACATTGTGCACCCCCCAGATTCTACAGAGTTACCCAGAACAGGGAAATTACTTTGTGGGGCAAAGTGCTGACTAGAATCTTAAGAGACCTACACACTCCTCAATCTGACTTTGCCAACATTGCTTAAAAAAGCTAGCATATTGGGCGAGTTCGATCACAAACCACGGTCACCGTAGTTCGACTAAATTAAGATCGAACTCACTTTAGTCGTACGAAAATAAAACCGCGG